CACAGTTCAACAGTGAGAAGGAAAAAGCAGCAGTACTGGAAAAAATAATCTGAATTATCATTAATTGCTGGTATAATGTAGAGTTACGTAACACGAGGCTGAAATGGAAGTGGGATATTTAAGTATCATAACTACTAGTCTGGTGCTAATTTTCCTACTCACCTTATTTTAAAGGATACTGCTATCTATGTGAGTATTTACAGAATAAAAGTCTATCAAATAGGTCAGTTCTACTATTCTGAGCCATTCACTGTGTATCATGTGTGCACAGCTCATAGGAAGGCATCCTCTGTGAGTTGGTGTCCTTGTCTGCAAAATGTTGATAGCAATGCTCATCCAAACTACAAAACACTCGTACTCCACAAGAATAATTATATACTAAGCAAAATTGTAAGACTGATGTATTTTGATGGGCAATTCCTATGGTATGCATATTTCTGTCTCAAATAGACAGAGTTTACATCACAGAATCACAGAATCATGTAGTAGTTGGTACAGTGGTTTAACCCTCTGTTCATGCACACTCTTTTTATTTAAAAATTCCTTGTTGTAAATAGAAACAGCACTCATCCAGCCAAAGACTCATGATCATCCTGCATTCTGGAGCATCTCTGGATTAAAACATGTATGTAGCAGATAATCTAAGCACATCAAGAGCTGGGTCTCCTGCTGCCTCTTTGGCACACAGGGAGAACAAGAGGCAGAACTCCAGGTGTGGCTGACAACTGAGCTTGGACTTCATTCTGCTGGTTTGGCACCTCCTTAGCCAAATAAAACAGCTTTTGGCTCATCTACATATGTGAGAATCTGATTGGTTTTAATGGCAATTGATAGTGTATAAGACAGAGAAGAAGAGAGACTATTTATTTAGAAGGTGTATAAGCAGAATTAACAAATGGAAGAAAGAAGCAGCTGACCTATATTTCAGGGACTGGAACATGTCTGTAATGCAGATGAAAAGCCCTTTCCATCTCCCCTGTAAATTGTACACCATCCAAATCTATTTGTCATGAAGCAGTTACCTGCTCATAGCTGAAAAGAAGTGCTTTGATATATTTTTTATGAATCTAGCTTCTCCAGTGCTAAGATAACTGATCGCAACACAACCTTGCATTAATTACTGTACTTCTGTCTACCGAGTGATGTCCTATAAAAAAGGAAAGCTGAAAAAAAAGCATGTAGTCATTTTACAAAAAAAAAAAAAAAGCGCCATGTAACAAAAGGCTTAAGGTTTTTTTTTTTTTTTCTTTCATAGTACTGCAAAAGACAATCAAACAATTAAGTAAAAAAAAACAGTTAAAAAGCGGCTTTTGAAAAAGCATATTTTCTTGGTTTAAATGAGATATGCAGTAAAGCAGGAAAGAAATAGTAATAAAAAAGAATAGGTGCCATTCAGAAAACAGCTGGAGCTCTATTTGTTTTTTTCCCACTCTGGAAAACAGTAAATGGTCAGAAATAATTCAAGCTCAGTAGTGTAATTTTTTAAGCTGAAATTTTTGTCTATTTTCTATTTTAAAAAACACATATTACATATGGAAGAGAAGATAATAATATCTATAAAAATAAGTTTTGCCAGATATTTTATGTATCCAGTTCCTGTGTTCATATATTCATTATTCTACAGATTGTAAGGATGCAGGAGTTTTTATTTCATTTTTCTCTTTGGAACCTACGAAATGTTCATTGTTGCAGTCAGCAATATCAATAAACTCCATCCACAACTTTTTCTTATAATATCCTACCCTTTGGCTGCTTTTTTGCCTAAACCAAAAGCTGACACTTTACAGTTAGCCTTACAGAAAAAGACCGACATTGAACTTAATATAAGGTATATTGTTGTTGCCTAGTTTATTTTCTGATGTCTGATTATTATTCTTGTCTCTTTTTTTGTCTTATTGCTTTACTGAAACAGCAGTTGGAGTTTGGCCTTTTGATAAATACCAGCCCTTAGAGCTCTAAGATGTAAAATCCAGATACACATGCCTTAGCAGCTCCCAATTAACTTTAAGGAGAACATTATATTAGTATTATAAATTAATTAGGTGAAAGACAATGTAATGTACTCAAACATTATAAATAGTGTAAATATACCAGACAGCATTTATAATAATGTGAATAATTTTTAATGAGAGGAGTTTAGACATAGAGTTTGCTCATGCTCCTGATGGAGACTTTTCTGCTTTGTTTTATATACACTCAGATGCTATTTCAGTGGAACATCTTCACTTCTGTTCTTCTCTGTCCACATATAAACAACATGTTCCTCCCAGATCTCAGGGTTACTGCTTCCTTAATGTGACCCTAATGTGACTAAAAAAGACTAGTCACTTAGTAGTCCCTTTTGAAATCCTTTAAGGAGCATGTATAAGACTCCAGGGTTTCCGCTTAGCATTATTGCTAGTAGTGAAACAAAAATAAGTTAACTGAGTCCAACATACAGACATATCCAACTCTTGATCTCTAGGAGGTTGTTTCTATTCACATAAGTGTCTCTGCACCATAGTAAAACAAAGATGTTTGTCTATGTCATCCCTAGGTGGCTCTGAGCAGCCTGGTTTAGTGATTGGTGGCCCTGCGTATGGCGGGGGGGTTGAAACTAGATGATCACTATGGTCCTTTTCAACCCAGGCCATTCTATGATTCTATGATTCTATGATTCTAAATCACCTCTATTTCCATTACTTCCTGAGATGAAATCTCAGTTTAAAAGTATTAATTGTAGACCAGCACTAAATGGTACAGTTCTTCCACTCTTAGTTTGTCTTCTTGGTCCATATGGCGTGAGATAGGAAACACGGTTTTCAGCTTATTCATGTTTTACCTCCTGCACTGGAAAAATTCATGATCCTAGTAGCCCAGGAGATGAGTGAATGCACAGGGTAAATGTAAAGATAGTGGCTTTCAAAGGACTGGGTGTGCTTGAGCATTAAGAAGATGATAGGTCACATATGGATGCTGTGATCTGATCTCTGGTATGGGGATGTTGCTCAAGATAGCAATTCCCTTGATAAGTATGGGCTTTAGGATTTCTGCTTAAATGAGCTCCACAAGAAAAGCAGGCATTAAATCTCCCAACTATTTTCCATTCAAATGCAGGTTGAGTATACCTCTTGTTATCCCACCCTAGATGAGGATATTTTTAAGCTTTTCTAAATTATCTATACTATCCTGTTTTTTAAAACTTTTTTTAAAACTCGGATTGCTTTAAGTGAAGAGAGAAATAGACCATGGCATATTGGTTTTGAACATCCAGCTGCGGACCCAAGAGTGCAAACCACATTTATGCAAGTCATATGTTAATTATATCTGCATGAGTGTAATGCAAATGGGCACCCACTTGCATGGAAATATATTAATAATACTTTATAGTATTAATAGAATTCATATGAAGGAAATACCATATTTGATTTTACGTATTTTTGTATTTTGTATTTCATTTTTTGTTAAGATAAAAAGACAAAAAAGGAAAAAAGATAAAAAGGCTACTTCACACATCATTGTCATGCCGTGATAGATTATTTAAACTGTAAGTAGCCTAATTCACTCTATATAGTCCCTCTTTGGCACACAGTTTCTGATTCAGCAATGCCTAGAAAGAGATCTATTGACCGAAACATATGCTGGTTGGAGTGCTCTGGCTTTCTCAGCAAGGCAATGTATCATACATTTAATTAAGCCTCTGGGTCATCCTAATATCAATGGGATTAGTTATTTGTTTAAAGCAAGCCTCAGTAATTCGCTGAATTGAGGCTTAAAAGAAGCAGAAGAGTCATGGAAATTACTGTACATGATTGTGTCACTGAAGATAGGCTGCCACTGACTGCGCAAGAGTGGGTTGAGTTGTGGCCATCCAGAATCCTTCATCCATATCTCAATGCTTTTTTCCTTTGGAAACCAAGTTTTTACTTGTTTTTATAAACTGTCATGTGATTCAAGATACAAAGGGTACAAACAGGACTGTCCTGGGAATTCCAGCTACCTGTAATACAATCCCACACTATAACCCAAATATTATCTCAAGAATCATTGAGGACCAAGTCCTGAGGGTCTTTGGCAGCCAAAGCTTGCAGGATGGAGTCATTGTACAAGGCCAGCCGTATGCTCATGATGTTTAATGACACTTCTCAGATGCACTAAACGCACTTGTCTTGTCTTCACACCTCAATGCACAGCCAAAGCTCTGCATCAGTCACCAAAACCACTCAGGCTGCTATGCATTATTGTTTAATTAAAAAACACAGATAACTTCCAAGACTATTTCAAGTATGAACATGGCCCGGTATCTAAGCTTTATTTAACCTTAGGAAGAAAATACAAATATTGAGAGAACAAAATTTAAATGTGAGGAAAACAGCTTAGGGAAATAGTAGTTCACCCTTTTTTGGTTTTCTCCTTCCAAATTTATCTTTACAAAATCATGTCTGCTAAGCACAGTTTTTCCCTGCTCCACCCCCAGCCATGATGAGTTTGAGGACACTGATTACAGAATGTGTTTTAAAAAATCCATTTGTGTCCTCTTCTGAGATATACAGAGGTCTAATTAGTTTCTCTGACATATCTGAGCCAGAAGCCCCCTTCAGCCACAGGGAGACCACCCCAGTAATTTAGACAATCTTTCGCTTGAAACTATTTGCTGGAAAAGCTCTGTGGAAGAGTGATTTTGGTAAGTAAAAACCACACTGTTGCATAGCACCAGCAAAACACCTCCAAAACTTTGTGACTTGAAAAACACCTATGGGCTGTGTTCTCCTTTTAAAGAGAGGCAAATTTACTTCTTTAATATTTTGAGGTGGTGTAATAGAGAAGACTAGATCACTCCCTTTTGCTAATACTTTGCAATGATGGTAGGATTTCAAAAAATGCCTTTTTGACTTGAAAGAAAGCCGAGTTAGGTCAGATTGAAGAGCTTTTGAAAAGCTTGCTCCAAACTAGCAGAGCTAATTCATTTTCGATTCTCTGAGCCACTCCTATGCTTAGTTGTACTGCACTGTGTTTTTCAGAGGATGCCTATAAAACTCAAGTCCGAATTGATGACGAACCAGCCTATTTGGACATTCTAGACACTGCTGGACAGGTAAGTAGTTTCCCAATGTCAACCACTCAATCAGAGTTAAACCCAAAGATTTTAACCTTAGATATACAGGTCACAGAGCTAGAAACAAGTTTCCTGATTCAAACATAAAAAGAGCAGTGGCAGAATAACATTGAAGAATTAACAAAGGAGAAGATTGAGAGTGCTTCAGTGGTACAGGATAACTTCAAAATCTGACCAGAAGAGACAAACAAATTTAATCAAGTAGGAGATGAAAGCTGTTTGTTTCCTCTTCTCTTGTATGCAAAAACATCTATCACCATCATGGAATGAACAAATGTTGTTGTTTGTCTTATGTGTTTCTCATTCTGTCCGCAGGTGGAGATCTGCTCCACCGTTACCTCCATGGCTGCAGGGGCACAGCTGCCTCACCATGGTCTGCACCACGGGGTGCAGGGGAACCTCTGCTCCAGTGCCTGGAGCACCTCCTTCCCTCTTTGTTCACTGAACTTTGTGTCTGCAGAGTTATTTCTCTCATATCCCACTCCTCTCTCTGTCCGCAATTGTTGTTGCACAGTAACTTTTCCCCTTCTTAAATATGTTATCCCAGAGGTTCTACCACTGTAAAGGACTATCCATGCTGTTCTGCAGAAACTGCAGCTGCCTGTCAAGGTTCCAGTGAGGCAAGGCCTTGTGATGTCTCAAAGCATTTTGGTTATAGACACTTAGTCCTCTCCCTTGATGATAAGAAGAAGCGAAGAATGCAATGAAGGCTTTCCTCCCTTCACTAACAAAGGACTTAGTCTTACAACAAAGCAGCAAACCCTTGCTGAATAAGGCCACTGCCTCTAGCTCGAAGGTGCCAGCAAGGCCAAAGTTAATCTAATACAGGGTCCGCAAGACCTCCAGCTCAATTGGCTGAAAGGGTTAATGCTACCCTTCCCCCTCTTGCACATGCCCAGAAAGATGGTTCTCCCCACGCTAATTAAGGAGACACTCCTCTCCGCTTCCTGTGCATTTGGGGAGACAACTCCATCTCTTCCTGTGATAATTGAAGAAAGTTAGGCAGAGACCTGAGAACTTTTGTCTATAAAAGGTGAATTAAGAAAGAGAAGGTGCGTTTGCACCCACCACCTGAGGACTACTGGGATGCTGACAGATTGATCGAAACCCACTCCCCTCACCCCCCAAGATGTTGACCCTCATCTCCAAGGATCCAAAGAGTGGTGAAAACCTTTCTCTCTCTCCTCTCCTTTTCCTTTCTTTTTCTCTTCAAGCATCTCTTGATCTCTCTCTTTGGCACATATGGCAACACCTTGTAAGGTTTATGCCAGCTCCTTTTGGGGCTTGTTTAGCAGGTTTTCCAAAGTTGTTCATCTTAGTACTGAAAAGTAATTGCAAGTTTTGTGAGCGATTGCAGGTTAAGTGATTGCAAGTTTCACAAGCGGTTGCGGGTTTCTGAGTATTGTTGGAGATTATGCTGACATTACCACATTGCTGTAAGATTTGGTGTTGTTGGTGGCTGGTAGTGTTGTAATGAATTGTCTTTACCAAGTAATTTGTTTTTCCTTTATAATTCTGTTACATTCCACATTTCATACCCCACATTTACATTTTTCCCTAAACAATTATATACATTAAAGTTATAAGCCAGTTTTAAATTCTTCGGTGTTGTCTCACCTTAATTTACCCCCAAGGGAATATACAGAATGTCTGCAAACACCACTCATCCCACCCAGGGTGGTTTTATGAGCTGGGTCACAACAACCACCATCGCTGATAGGCTTGGCCTTGGCCAGCAGTGGGAGTCAGCAGGCATTGGCTCTATCAGACATAAGGGAAGCTTCTGGCATCTTCTCACAGAAACCACCCCCACAGCCCCACCCGCTACCAAACCTTGCCACTAAAACCCAATACACATCTCAAAACATTTTTATTGTTTAATCAAAATGTTGCAGCTGTTTGATCTTTTCCTGAGGTATGCATCAGGTTCTGTTTGAAGGTTTTGGTAAGTTCATGAGTTTCCATAGTGTGTGTGAACCTTGTACATGAATGGGTCAGTCAACAGGGACAGTTAATCCTTAAAGTAAACAAACACAAAAAGATTTATGAAGTACGAGCCTGGAAACCTTGATCTCAGCTTCGCAAATGTCTGAATGCACCTTAGCTGAGCACTGCAAATCGTGGGGAATGCAGGCTGCTGCCAAGAATTGGAATAGCATCTAGTTATATAAGTTGAATGTAGTTCAGCGGGATTGTAGCATGAGTTTTACATGTGAATGAAATGTAGGCCAGTTTCAAAGTGAGCTCAACCCAGTTTCAGGAATCAAAAGATGCCCTGAATTATTCTTCCTTGACCCAAAATTTTACAGTCTCAGCAGTTAACCAGTGGCTTGCTACTGAATTTCATGTGAAAGTGTTTGAGTCTCCAGGAAATTTAAGCTCAATTTCAAGGCAAGTCTCCAAAGCTGTGAATTTAATTGACTTAGAATTTATTATTATAATGGGCTCAAGAAGTTTTTTATGCATAATAGTCGTACCACAGCTTCAGCAATGATTTGGTTGGGTGACAGAAGGGACATCTTAGTTGCTACTCCATATGTCTGAAAATATCTGTACTTCTGTTGAAGAAGTGGAAGCAACATCTTCTTTGCTCACTCAGGAAGTCTGAGCCTGGTACCTTCAACCCTAAGTTGTCATTAGTACATAATTACTAGGGGAATTATATCTCCACCTGTTTAATATTGTAAGGCTTTATGTATTAGGGACCTCCTGTGTATCCTTTAACATAGTTCACTGGTTAAAGTGTTAAAAAGTAAAATAGTTTCTTCCCAGTGCTGAAGAGAGACGATGAATCAGAGCTTACATGTCCAGCTTTTTTGCTAACGGGAAGAGGAGTAAAATACTACACAGAATTTCTAGTAATAAGTTGTAAAAAACAAGAGGAACAATTTATTCTACTCTGATATTTTTCTATTTGTTTTTGTTACTAGAAACATAAAAGTTTGTGTTGTTGATAAAAAAGATAGACTCAGATATTTAGAATTTCATTCTCTTCCAAACCGCCCACCAAAATCAAAGCATCTATTTTTTTTTTTTGTTGTTAAAACAAGTTTTTTAAAAATCCAATTTCATTTTATCTCAGCATCTTTTAAAATGAAAATAGTGGAGTTCAATCTTCAGTCCCTTTGAAAGATTTGTTTAGGTTCAGGAAAAAAGAAAAAATATCCCTATGTGCTGATCTTTTAAGTAGATGAAACTGTTATGTTTTCCATTTTAAACAAACCCATCTTTTGTCCATTATGTTTACTTTTTAGGAAAAATTCCTAAAAAAATTTTTACATTTTTTTTTGTTTCAATCGTATAAAAAACTAGATCAAAACTTCATTTTTAATTTGTGGAGGTTTTATTGCCAATATTATGGATTTTATCAGAAGTGACCCTTGTAAGTGAAGAAGAGAAATCAGAATAACACAAACAGTGAAAGCTGGTGAGAATGATGGTAGAGAAAGGCTGGAGATTTTTAAGTTTTTTTTCAAGAAGGGACCAAATTGTCCATAATATCAGAAACCCATGGTGTGTAATGACCACGTAATGAAATGTGATATAGAGGTTTTGCAGCAAGTGGAGAACTGTGGCAGTAGCACCACACTGCAGATACATCAGCCCAGGACTTTGTAGTTCCTGGACACAGCTGTTCTACCTCAAGATCCAAGTTTAATTGATACGAGAAGATCTCTGCTTTAAATTTCCCTGTTCTTCCAGTGCAGACTGTCATTGCTGAAACGTGTCTCAGTCTATCTGTACTAGGAAGCTCTTCTGACTTTCTTACACCTTTATTTTTCAAAAAGCTGTCCATTCTAAGTATCCTGGATTTAGCTGCTTGTCTTTGCAGGTGTCTTTGAATTTGTTGCCTCTCTATCTGCACTACACATCTCCAGAATAAATCGAGACCTAATCCAACTCCCATTGAAGTCAACAGCTAAAAGAGCCTTTTTCCTCACAGGAGGCTTAATGTTACTCTAAGGTTCGAACTGAAATCCTGCTGTGACTTCTGTGACTCAGGGTGAAAAATCACAGTACCCAGTCATGCTGCTGCTGATGCACTCTGATGATACCTTGCTGGGTTTTGTGTTGAAGCAGAGATGGTGTTACAACTTCTAAATCACGTAGTGGAAATCTCATTTCTCTCTGGGTGTCCTTGCAGTCATAAATACTTCGTCATCAACTTTGAATAATGACTTTAATCACTTCAGAAGATCAAGGAGCTGAAATTGTAATTCTTCCCCTTTTGGGAAATACGAGAAGTCAATAGAGAAACTGCCTGAAGTTAATGTAATTTGCTTTTGTTCTAGAGAACATGTTTCACCAAATATACTTCTCCTTTCCCTGCTGTACCTATGCACTAATTGAACACTTCAACACTGACCAAATACTGTGATTTATTAATAATTAAAATAGTCCTTCATTGTCAAGTCCAGAGTTAAAAATCCACATCTGATTTCATGCCTGAAACTGAATAAAAATAATTGATATTTTAACTGATAGATAGCCTGGAGCACCAAAAACATATATGGTGCTCCAGAAATACATTTCTGTTTCTTAACTTTCTGAAGTTAAAAGCCATTTAAACAAAGTAAAAACCAGAACCAAGAATAAACTATCAGAATTTGTCATCTGGTTATTGATCTTCCTCTTTACATGCATATGCATAGGCAGTACTAAATATGGCAGATTGCTCCTCTCAGGAAGCAGGCTGATGTCTCTTCAACTGTGGATACATATTTTCTACATCATCAGTTGTCCTCTAATGCTCTTCCAATATTATTTTTCTGCTGAAGGTACAATAAGAGGCACGTTCTTATTGTATGTAGGGCTACTGTAAGTAGAATCCTAGAAGCATAGAATCATTAAGGTTGGAAAAGACCTCAAGGATCATCAAGTCCAACCCAACACCACCTAACTCACTAAACCCTGTCCCTAAGCACCACATCTACACGTTTCTTGAACACCTCCAGGGATGGTGACTCCACCACTTCCCT